ATGGTTGATACATACATTCAGTAATACCGTATTCAACTCAAATTACTTCTAGCTTACATACGGATCACTTCGTTTTCTATGTTTTATAACAAACCTTACGGAACTTGAGTTTTTTTTTAAATTGATGCTGTTATTTATTAAAGGGATCAAATTGAAAAAATTATGAGTTTAAAAGCATAACTTATTCTTTAATTCATACTCATAAATTTAGTGAACACTAATAAATCCCGTACTTTTCAACTGTAGCTTTTGTTTTTACTTATCCTTGGGAACAATTCTCCATCGTTCTTAATATTCATTCTATACAAATATATTTGTTCATATTAAATTCGCGACTTGTATTCTCTTTAATTTCATTTCCTTGTATTTCTACCTACTATGTCTACGAAAAAAAAAATTCTATAATACAAACAGTTTAGAAGATAGAAACATTTTAAGAATATGACTAAATCACCTAAGAAACTTTCAAATAAAGCTTACATCACTAACTAAGATTCACATGTCATTTGAAATATGCTTTGTTCTATTTGTTTACACAACTCATGACTCTCTGTCACGTTTAAATCTCAATTAAGTCAAATGTTATTCTTTAAAGTACCTTATTTGATGATCTGATAGAAAAGTGTATTTAAGTTAAGTGATTAGTTAAAAGGGGATAGACAGATCATAGATATATCAACAATTGTCACAGAGACCATAAAAATGTTATTAACCTTTGTTTAAGGAAATGAGAATATACGTTTCCACTAATACGTTACTATTAAAAGTTAAACTTGTAAAAAACGAACCCTGAAATCTGACATAATATTGGTAATCAGTATTTTAAAGAAGAAAATTCATATGTTGACATAGAATATTAGTTGGAATAAAATAATATTCAATTTGGGTTACGAAAAATAAATCGAATTGATTACAGATTAATTAGATTAGAAAAAAATAATCGTAGAATGATTATGCAGAACCGTAGTTATATGGTTTATATACTTCAGTTTTATCTTGACAAGGCTATGATCATCAGCTATATCTTACTTACTACTACGAATATGTTATAATCAGTAGCAGTCACATAACGAGCGTAATTCATGGCTTAGTACAGAAATTTGTAAGAGATTGACGAATTATTGGCAATGCTGATGAGAATCAAACATACTAAAAATAATCCTCAGTAGTTTAAAAGATAGTCCTTTTTTTCAAGTCTCGGCTGGACAATGATACACATGAAGATTTAAATAATCAGCATAAAATAGGATGGAACATACTTTCTGAATTTTATCTTAACCACTGAATAAATATTAGTAGAACGCAACGAAAAATCATTTCTGAAACATCAAAATATTCTCAGATTCTAACAGTAGTATACAAGTCGATTAAATGGTTGGAAATGCCTAGGGGTAAATCTTCTAGATGAAATGAAACTCAAAACGAAAACTATGATTTTCTGACTAAATTGTTTTCCGCTTAAGAATTAAGTTAATCAAAAAATAGTAATATGTAGAAAAGGAACAAGTTTTAGAAAATTCAGTCATTTAGAAAGCACAACTTCAAATCTTCCTTTCAATATTTCACACTGTGAATAAAGAATTATATCATTGTGATGATATGGTTTTTTTAAAAAGTACATTTCACGCATTGAAAGGTTTTTGATTTAACCATATAATATAATATAAGACGAATTTTCATTTGCTGTTTCTAATTACTTCCCATGTCGACATGAACTGATTATGACTGAGTTCAAATTTGTTTCACAAATGAAAGTTAATAGTTAATTTACGCAAAGTAGAATGAAAAAGAAAAACAAGTGAAAACTCCAAACCTGAATTGCATAACAATAAAAAACTATTTTACCAGAAGTAGTATTCACTAGTCCTGTTGTACAAACAAATAACGTGTGACGTCTTTCATCATTATTTATATTTCAATCTCGAATCATCACATTTAGATTCTATGCAATCGCATTAACTAAACTTGAACTAAAATACTAAGTTATAACCTCAGCTCATAATCTCTCCGTTTTAGTGAAATCTTCTATTTATAAATAATGAAATATCCATGTATTCCTTTCTCACTGACTTTCCTGACTTAATGAATGATTTCGAAGGGATCAAAGTAATCAAAATTAACCAGGTGTTCCAGGAATAAGCTTTCGAATAATTTCTTGAGTCCTTAAGCCAACCAGTTAAGGGAATTTACGAAGACGTTTTTTGAAAGAACTCACTTTGAGCGACCAATATAACTTTTTCCACACGAGTAATTAAAATGAGAGATGCATATTGAGTTGGCTAGTGGGAGCTCGTCCTTTACACAATTATGAACCACAGATCGGTTAGAGAAGGTAATACGAAGTTCATCTGAATATAAAATTTTTCATAAAGAATTTGAAAGTTTGTTTCTCAGAATTTCCGCTTCATTATCTCTTTTAAACTGAATGTTCATAAAGAGGGTCTTCTTTGGTGCCATAAACACTATTTCAAATTGTTGTTCTTCTACATGAATGGAGTTGACTGAAATTTATATTACTGTGACCTATTCTCATTGCTTTAATAGCAACTTTAGCATAATCGTGACCCTCACAATGTAAGAATGCTACGTGTTTCAAAGTTATTTCCCTTAGTTACTACACTATGTAAAGTAATCGGTCTTTTCTTGAGAAATCTCTTAAAACTAACACTTCTTTTACCCTTACTTCTATTTTGTCGCCAACGAAGTGTTGCTATGTACTATTTACCATCCGTTATTTTTGCTTTAGGTCATCTGTTATATTAGAAGTATCTTTCAATCTTTCTTATTCTAGACCACAAATAATGCATAAATCATTTATCTATGCTCTACTTTACAACTATACTACAGTTTGAACATTGACTAACTAAACTTTAAATTATTTAATTTTGTGTGAATTTTAAACCATTTAACATCAATAAAACTAAATAGATTGATTTTTAATGATTAAATTTGTGAACTTTCATTTTTCCTAAGTAACTATTCGTATTTATTAATTATTTATATAGTTTACAATAAAACAAAATTAATCACTATGATGATTGATCGATTTCAATCAAATAATTAGATGTTAATTGAGAGAATGATATTCTGTCAAACATCTGTGTGTATATGTATGTATTCAATCATACTTATAACCACATGTTCTAAGTTTACGTTGATATATGTTGTCTTTTCCTTTTATTGTAGTAATTAACTTTCTAATGGTGTTCTTTCTTAGTTTTCAAAAAAAGTAAACATGATATCATAATTGATGAGAAAATAACATTCTGTCTTTTATTTCCCTAATGCGACTTTGTTTAAATTTGCTAAACCCATGATATTATACAGTAATGAACAGTTATAGATGAATAACCAATGAATGTTTATTCTCATGATTTAAAATCTATGAACTCCTTTAAGTTTATGATGATATAAAATTCAAAAGATTCTCTACAATAACCTTTTCAATGTGTTTTTTTAATATAAACTTGAAGTGGAATTATTTTGAAATTATTTAGTAAAATTTACATGAATGTTTCTTATAAATAATCTTGAAATAATTTGATATTATGAAGCTAATTTTCATTAATGTTTGACAAAACTTTCAGAATTAATGAAAACCTTCGTTCTGTGAAATTTCTCAAAAGGATCGTGGATGCGCGCTGCTGAGGAGTCCCATACTAGGACGAAACGGTCGTTCAGTGCTTCCAAGTTTTCCATAAAAGGTCTAGCTTCAATTGACTCATGATTTTAACCAGTGAAAATAAGTTTAAGTTTCATAGAAAATGTGATACTGAATAATTCACTATCTAAACTAGTAAACCTTCAACATAACACTATTGTCAATCAATGTTATCGATGAGTTGCTGTCTTACTTTCAAACTGATTGATTCAACAAATTATAATTTCCTCTGAATTTTTTTTTTAATGATTGTACTAAAAGCCTGTGGTTAGTGCATAATCTTAAGGAGTTCTGATATAATTCAACAGTAAATTTGTCATCACATTTATTTGCTGCAACTACTCACTGGTCTTCTACTCCTCATTGTTTAAATAAGCTTTTTTGCAATCAGCAATATTTCTTCTTCAGATAGAAACGAGGGACTACTCAAAAGTATTAGATCGTTTTCATTCATTTGTTTGGTTCATTTCTGACAATGAAGTCAGAAAATACATAATGCGATCCTTCTAGTTAGTTTGATTGAATTTCCTTTACCTTTCTTAGTAGAATATTACGTTCTCTCAAATATCCAATGTTTGATCACACTGTTATTATTCTTCACATCATAGTATATTGTTTTGTCTTATGTTACCAGCATTCTTTTCACAAACTCTGTTCATTAATTTTTCATGTGAACCAGCCTCGAGCCTCCAATCAACATAATGAAAAGCCCAATGATTGGTTGTAAGTAAAACTTTATTATTTACAATCATAACTCATATGATTTAGTAAGTTATAAATAAAAGCACATAAATACATCTCAACAGGTAAATACATGACAGAAAATAGATTTACCGATTTAGGATCAATATCAGTGTATTATATGGATGGTAAAAGACATTCAAACAATTGATAAGTCAAAAGGTAGCTTATCATCAGGACAGTCTAAAAAATCTTAAAACAGGTTATTGAATATATATACAACCTGATACACCTAAGAATAGTTATACACATATCATTTTCTTTTTTCTTCATACCTTCCAGACTATAACGACCAATTTTTGTACAATGTTATAACTGTGCTGGAATGCATATTTTTGTACAGATTACCATAACTTAATACGGCTTTTTTCAGAAGTTGAATTCCTTCAATGAATATATATATATATATATATATATATATATATATATATATATATATATATATATATATATATATATATATATATATATACTTTGTATTGATTATTCGCAATGTGTTTATAGATCGTTATAGATAATAATGTATTCATTAAATCATAGGTCATTGTATATTAATCGATTACAGTTTGATAATTTAAAACTTCACTAATCAATAACACTAGTTAGTTAAACAGTGTATATATATATAACAAAGAAATAGAATAAAGTTATACACTCGAAATATTTATTATTCTTATTTGTAAAAAAACATTATCAATGGATACAGACACAAAATTAAAAGACATTCAATTGTATAGACCACCACCAGGGTATACATTAAATAGAATAAAATTATACCAGTTACAAAATGTTGATATATTTATGAAACAATCAAATAAATTAATTAATCTAGAACAAATTGATATTAATGAATTGTCCAAAATTATTATGATGAATCAATTAGAAATTTTACAAATTAAACAAACAATTATGAATAGATTTATACATAAATTATTAAAATCTATAAAAAGAAATTTATAAACATTAAAAAAAAAAGGAATTAATTATGGTAACTAATCAAAAAAATTAACTAAAATATTATAAATTTCATGAAGACAAAAATTTATAATTTGTGAAATTGATTTATTACAAAATCAATTGATTTTATTAAATTATAAATGAAAATCTCTAAAATTGTGTATCCTACTAAAAATATATTTTCATTATAAAAAGGTATTATAATCAATTTAAAAGAAAAGAAAAGAAAAAAAAAGAGAGATTTAGAATATAAAATAAATCAAATTGAATATTTTCTTTTTTACAAAATCACAAATACAAAATTAGAAAAATGTGAAAATTCATTAAAAAAAAATTCAATAATATAAATTAATATAAATAGATACCAGTATATCGTCTAGTTTTCTCTCATTATAGGCAGTAATCAATATATATATATATATATATATATATATATATATATATATATATATATATATATATATATATATCTGTTATAACTAACCAGTCGGAAGTTATCAGTATAACGTAACTACATTATGTTGTCCATTTCGACATTTTATATGAGATGGACGAGGTATCAACCATATCGTTCTTGTGAACACTATTAAATCAGAACAAGTAAATAATTTTAGTATATTTAATTTGTACATTGAATATTGAATTATTATTTGGAAAACAATGTAATCTTTATTATTTATGTTGAAACATGATACAATTGACATCCAGTTTTTTCTTTAGTCCTACACTACCAAAAATGTATTGATTTTCACAGAGGTCACAAAATAAAATCATAACATTGACAATGTCGTAGGTATTACCTGTGTGATTTAATTACATTATATTTGAGTGAAATTCTTAACAGTAGTAATGACAGTGTAATAACAAAAATAGTAGAATAATGGAGTAAAAGAAAATTTTGTCATTCAAGCTTATCAAAACCAATAAATAACATTGATTCAAGTCAGAATCGAACAATCAACCTGTACATTACCAACCGGACAACCGATAGTCAATCAGTTTCATGGATTACTTGAACTTCGACTTGTATAGCATTAGACACCCGCTCAATAGTCTAAAGGTTAGGGAAAAAATCGTATTATACCTGATAAAGTACAGTGTCACGTGATGAGTGAGTGTATTATACGAACGTGTGATTCTTATGTAAAAGAATATATGAATATGGTAAAGATGTGGACAAAAATGTAAATGTCAGCATGTTATTATGAGCAAATTAGTAATTTTACAAAAATTTAACATGCATTTATGTTGTGACTCTCTGGATGATAAAATAACATGTTCGTATGAGCGATTCGAAATATTGTGAAAACAGTAATAAATCGTTTATGGATATGACAACGAAATAAATTGCGTAGAATATGACAAAAATCGATTTGTGATGCCGACAGAATATAGTGATAAAGAACAGTGAAATATGAAAATGTTTTGATGAACCACAGTAGAGTAAATAGCGTCGATTAGCTATGAGTGAATCCGAGTTTACATATATAGAGTTCTCGTTCGTAGGATAAGAATAATCAAATTGTGAATTGGTAACTGCATCAACGGGTGATACTCGCTGCTGTACTGCAATTGATAGTAATCATAAAATGCGAAGTCAGTGTACGTTGTTGTTTGCGTTATGACAGATGCACCGATTTGTCGATAAATATGCATTGGTAGAATGACCAGCGGAACAGGATAGTGACTGGGAGACGAGATAAGCGGAGTTGTATTCCTTTTTGGTCGTGAAGTCTAGAGTGGTTTTTGTGCTCGACCTCATTTGTTACGAAACCGTACTAAGTCATGATATTGGTATATATATCGATGAAGACAAGTGAGATTGACTTGGATTTGACGATCAAGAGTGTATCTCTGAGAGACTAGATCTAAACTCTAGGTTCTGGTATATAGTGCGATGGGAACAGAATATTAATTGCAGTAAACGAATAATATTTTTGGGTAATGAAAGATGCAACGTGCAGTTATACATGTGGGCGAATAGATAAGATAAACCTAATCGTTAATAATCAGCCACTAGAGAGTTAGAGGCATCCAGAAAAATAATAGAAGGTAATATCGAGACGAAAAATGTGTGGTATAATAACATAAAAATGAACTCAACTAAGTATATGAGTGTAATAATAGACCGAAAATGACATGGAAAAAAATGGAACGAACCTAGAGCAGGAAAAGTTTACGTTTTTGAATAATAAAAACAGTCCAGTGAGTTTCGAATGTCACAAAGTGGAGTATTTATAAGATTATAATTTGTTCAGTGAGTGATATGATTGTATAAATCTCATAATTTAATGTCAGCACGAACAAAAAAAATAATTCCACGTTAGGTGATAATGTGACATTAATGTGATGATGGGACTATAATAATTATTTGAATCATAATGCAACAATCCGCTGGATGAAGCAATGAGCAGAGTTGACATAAGGACAAAGTATCATCAAGATAATACGATTTGGGCATGTTCATTTCACTGCTGTAATGGCTTCGATGAATGAGTTACATTAAAGATTGAGTCATTTGAGTTGCATGTCTATTAAGTCGGCCACTTAGTTCGTTTACCGAACACGTAGAGTTCGAGATGTTTATCGTCTGCGCAGATTTGCAGGGTGCGTTCAGTTCGAAAACGGGCTCACCACCTCAGTGGCCCGAAATCTGATTCCAATTGGATTGCATGCTGATAGTCATCGAAATACACCTGTCGGTTATTCTCGTATGTAATCATCGACTCAAATCGCGTTGGTGAATAACGGAACTAAATAAGTCAAACACGAGAATGAATTTTTTAATACATATATTTTGTACACTCACTGATATGGACAGGAAATGAGAAGGATGAAGCGAATAGGAGAGAGCAAACCGAAATTACGTGCGGTCGAGAAGGCTAGTGAGCCAACTCCATTTAATCAACGTACTTACTTACACCTGTTACTCCCAGTGGAGTATAATCCGCCGACCAGCATTCTCCAACCCACCCTGTCCTGGGCCTTCCTTTCCAGTTCTATCCTATTTTTGTTCCTTTCTCTCATGTCTGTCTCCATTTCCCGGCGTGATATGTTCTTTGGTCATCCTCTTTTCCTTTGGCCTTGAGGATTCCATGTGAGGGCTTGTCTTGTGACGCAGTTGAGTGCTTTCCTCAATGTGTGTCCTATCCACTTCCAGCGCTTCTTCATAATTTCCTCCTACACTGGAATCTGGTTTGTTCTCTCCCACAGTAGATTGTTGCTGATAGTGTCCAGCCAACGGATCTAAAGTATTTTGCACAGACAACAGTTAATAAACACATGTATCTTTTGAATGATGGCTTTCGTAGTTCTCCAGGTTTCCGCCCTTTTCAGTTACTACTACATCTGCTTTTAGTGCCTCTGCTGGAATGTTGTCTAGCCCCGCTGCTGTGCCTCTCTTGATTTGTCTGATGGCAATGCTGATATATTCAATTGTTGGTAGGCCAACATCGATTGGAAGGTCCGTGGGTTCTGCTCTGAGGTTGGGTGGGTTCAGTAAGGCTGGTCGATTCAAGAGTTCCTTAAAGTGCTCTAACCACCTGTTTTGCTGTTCTTCAATGTTGGTGATTACTTTATCTTCCTTGCTTTTCACTGGTCGTTCTGGTTTACGATAATTTCCAACGAGTTTCTTTGTTTTGTCATACAATTGTCTCATGTTTCCTACTCTAGCAGCCTCTTCCACCATCATTGCTAGATCTTTCACGTATTTACGTTTGTCGGTTCTGATGCCCCTTTTCACTTGCTTGCTTACTTCTGTGCATTCAGCTTGTGCCTTGGCTTTCTCTGCTCTTGTTCGGCTGATATTGATTGCTGCCTTCCTGTTCCTCCTTTCTTCAATCTTATCCAGTGCATCAGCAGTGACCCATTTCTTGTGATGGTGCTTCTCGTCAGCCCAGAATCTCATGCCATGTTGAAGTGATTGCCTCCTTGTCCCCTTTCCCGTTGTTTTCCATAGTAATTCCCTCTCCATTGAGTAGATCGTGAAAAACCTGTAACCTATTGGTGAGGGCTATCGTGAATTCTCTGAGTCTGTCAGTATCCTGAAGAGAGGGCCTTATTAAACATTTGTGATATTGTCTACCCCGTTGTCCAGTGCTTCTTGAGTTTCAATTTCATCTTGGCGCCCAGTAATTGATTATCTGAGGCTATATCAGCTCCTCTCTTAGTGCTCACATCACCCATTGTCCTCCTGAACGTTTTGTTGATGCAGATGTGGTCGATTTGGTTCTATGTAGTATGATCCGGTGAAGTCCATATGGTTTTGTGTATGCGTTTTTGTGGAAATATAGTGCCGCCTATGACCAGTTTATTGAAGACACATAGGTTTGCAAATCTCTCACTATTTCCGTTCCTTTCTCCTAGTCCATATCCTTCCATGATGTCTTCATATCCGGTGTTGTCCATTTAAATGGTTTAAATTATATTTTCTGGTTAGTCTTCTTTAACGAGTTAGTTTTCTACGGGACTGGGTCGCTAACCCCACGCACAACCCTCCTCCATAGGGGCTCTAGACAGAGTTTCCATTTAATCAAACATGAATTAATATTTATAGCCAGATAAAAATAAGTTGCAGACGTGTGATAAATAGGATAATAAGTGTACACACATATACGCTCAGATAAAAACAATCGGGGCTGATAAGTGAATAATTAACAAGGTCAAAACGTGACCTAAGAAGAATGGATGAATTAGCCTGCCTAGAAGCTAGAATAAGTTATGTGGGCTTTACATTGTAACCGACACTACAGTTTAACTTAAAATGATTCGTGATTTCAATAAAATCTAACAACTTCCACAACTCTATACTGACAACTTGTAAACATTTCAAAATTTCCCAAATGATTCGAAAGAATTGATTAAAGGACATCATACTCAAACATGTTAATAGAATCAGCTCACATACATGTTTTAAGTAATTACCTATAAATACTGAGTATCACTATGATATATATATGGTATAAATATAAACCTTTACTTACCATTCATACATACACTGAGCATTAGTAAGATCAGTGTCATTTTGACTGTAGTTGAAATTGTTACCATCTTACAATAGTGATTAATTTAT